AAAAAAAAAAAAAAAGAAAGAAAAAAAGAAAATTCAGAGCAAGAGGCCTGAGCCTCCAAAAGCAGGGGCCAAGTTCCAGCCACAGAGCTGCTGGGGTGAAGCAAGGCTGCAGACACCTCAGGAGAGGGTGCCCACGGAGTAGGTGCTCAAGTGAGAGCCACATGGGTGGGGCTTTCCATGCACAGAGCTACAAGGACTGAGGATTCCCAAGTGGGAGGTACCCATATCAGCTCGAAGAGAAAACTCTGAACCCAAGCAACCTCCCACAGCAGGACTGCAGCCCCCTCGTGGTCCAGCAGCTCAGCTTCCGCACTCAATACTAGGACTGGCCCAGGTCCTATAATAACCCCTTCCAGCTGGTAGCCCCACCCTCTACCTCATTTCCTCACTGTTAAGATGCAGCTCTGCTTTACTCTAACAAGGTGTACTGGGAGGGCCCAGCCCCAGATGCACACGAGCCCTGGGCCACGAGAGCAGCAGCTGCCGACCTCCAACCACTGAAGGGGCAGCAGCCCCCAGCCTCTAACTCATCTCTTCACAAGACAAGACCCCACAGCACAGAGCTGCCCCTCACCCAGCTCAAACTTCCACTCAGTTCAGGTGCTAAGGGGGAGCCCTGGTCCAGTGAAGGGAACAACTAGGAGTCCCTCCACCCTAGGTCCTGTGGGTCTCCAGGCACCAGGAGGCAGATCCAACTCCAGACAAGAGCTTACCTGGCTCCCTGGGGCGGCAGCAGCTGGAGCCGCTTGGTCGGGCAAGTGGGCAACACCAGGCATGAGGGGCTGAGGAGGTGCAGGTGTGGGCACAGGTGGCATCGTAGGTATGGGCGGCACTGTGGGCATGGGCGGCACTGTGGACACAGGCGGTACTGTAGGAATGGGCGGTACTGTGGGAAGGGGTGGTACTGTGGGAACGGGTGGTATGGGCTGTGGAGGGGTGGCCCGTATGCTCTGCACTGTGTGGTGGGGGGAAGGTGGGATGTCCACGGGCGCCATCTGTGGGAAGGCCGCTGAGTATACTGGCTGCGCTGGGAGCTGGGCCGGGAGCTGGGTCACACCAGCATGGATGGACAGAGCAGCCATGCCCTGAGGGGCCACTGCCAGCAGAGGGATGGCAGCTGGTGCATTTGGCACAATGGTCTGGCAGGGCATGGCTAGGGAGGCGCCAGCAGGATGGGGCAGCTTGACTGCTTGCAGAGGCAGGGCCGAAGACGCAGGCAGGGGGGTGCTGAGGCTTGGCAAGATCACGGCAGGAGAGAAATACTGAGGTGGTGGCACAGGGGCCACATTTGCAGCCGGCAGGTCAGTGAGGGCCTGGGGGAGGCCATCGATGGCGCCTAGTGGTGTGATGGGGGGAACCACTGGCATTGTGGGCATCTGAAAGAGACACAGCAACATATCAGTGGCAGCACCCAGGGCCCTGCCCACAGCCCCTGCACTGTCAGCAGGATAAGCTGGGATGAGGGGAGCATGGCTTGCCCTCTCAGCCGCTTTTGTGCAGCTGTCGTTGCAGAGATCCCAGGAACAAATTCAACATAAAGGGAAAGGTCAAGCGTATGAAACGTCAACTGGAAAAGGAAATTGGTAGCTAAGGCATGACCTGCCCAACAAACCCCCGGGCACAGCATGGAGAGGGCCTCGCTGTGTCAGCACCCTAAGGGGCACACAGCGGAGGGGCTCTGAAGGCCACAGAGTGCTGAGCTCTGCAGCCCTTGCCTTCATAGGGGCCAGGACCGTAGAGCCACAAACAGGCCCAAGCTCTGGAATCACATCCATTTGCTGCTCCAATCTGTGGTTCTCAGTGGTGCATGTCCTCTAGCCTTCTTCTGTGGCTGAAGTGACAACCCACAGCATGTCACCTCCTGACAGCAGGAACTCCAGCATGCCCCCTCTATCTTCTTAGAGATCCATGCACCTCCTAGAAACAGCTGGCAACTAGCCTTGTGAATTTAGCTCCTCAGCCTCTGACAGTTTTCTAAAATACAGCTTCCTCTTTGGCAACAGCTAACACACACCTCTGTGAAGTACAGTATATGACAGCGGAAACACACGAACCAACTGCTTGGGACCTGACACACAACTAAGTACCAAACCACTCATGGGAGAAATGAGTTTTAATTAGACCCTAATCAGCTCCGACACAGTATCACAAGGATAAGGCCTGGTCAGCTAAAAACAAACAAGTCTTCTGATAGGGGCACATAAACCACAAGAATAACTCCTCAGTCTTGGGAACCACTGACTTCAGAATAAAGCCCACTTCCAGTCCTACCACCAAGGTCACAGGGCATCCTCAGCACTGGGGTCTGGGGCAGCTATGATCCTGGATGCTGTTAGCCTGGGCAACGGTGACCAGCCCTGAGTATTTTCTGTATAGTCATGCTGCCAGGGGTTCCTAGTAATGGACAAGTCCCAACAGAAAGATGCCATAGGCTCCTCCTGCTATTTATGTCAAGCTTCAGAGACTAGTGTCCTCTGTGCCCTGCAGTGCCACCCAGCTAGCTGGCTATGAGGTGCTTCCAAGGAACCACTTTTGGCTCAGCCTTGGGTAGCTCCACAGGATAAAACTGAAGCAAGCCTGTCCACTTTCAGTACCCACTTGGTAGCAACAACATGAACTCTGTCCTTGACCTTTGACTGAACTTTTTCCCCATCTGCACACTGAGGACTGGATGTGCCCAGGGTAACAGCCACTGTGCCTCCTAAGGGACCCATACTGGCTACTCACAGCCCAGAGGTATCACAGCTTGGGCAGAAGGCCCAAAGGACAGCCCAGTTGACATCCCAGATCAGTCCTGGCACAGGTGGCGTGCACAGCCCCTGTGCTGCTGAGCCCATCTCCCAACCCCACACAAAAGCTCCTGGAGGTGCCCTAGTACCCCAAAAAGGGCAGACAAGACACAGTCCCAGCTCTAACGGTCAGCCCAGATGTACCTGTGGAGGGACTTGAGCAAGTGGCTGCAGGGGTGGCTGCGGCATCTGGAGAGGCTTCAGCTGCGTGGGGGCAACCACCTGGGAGGTTGGGGCCAGGTAGGGAGGCAAGTGAGTGGGCACCGGCTGGACAGCGCCCAGGGCCTGCGGAGCCAGGACCTGAGGCAGGGTTGGCGGATGGGCCACTGGAGGAGGCTGTGGGAGAGAAAGGGGGCCTTCGACCAGTCCTGCTGAGGCAGGGTGAATCTGTGTACAGACACAACAGAAATGTACTCTCACATGTTCGTATTGGTACTCACTTGTGCACACAGTCATATACTTGCACATATCATACACACACACTTAGCTTCACAGTCATATATACACATGCTCTCACATGACTGCATGCTTGGACAGACAACACTCATGTGTACACACTCTACCTCCACACTAATAATGCACTTATCTACACATAAGGTACTCATCAGATAACCAGAGTCCAGGTAGCCCTTGCCAAGATCAGCAGAGCTTGCAGAAATGTCCTAAGGGGACCCAGAAGCGCCACACATGCACAAGCCACCCTGCCCCTATATAAACAATCCCAGGCCTTGAGAACCACACTGAACATATGAAGAGAGCCAGCAGTTCCTGGAGACCCCAGGCAGGGTCCAGCACAGGTACCCACATACCCCATCCTAGTGCCCACAGAGCTGCTCCCTACCACAAAAGGAATTCAAGGGACTATGAAAAGGAGCCACACTTACCTGCTGGGCATGGGGCACTGGATGGCCAGGGCCTGTGGGCACAGGGGCACTGGGTGGTGGTAGCACAGGGGCAAAGCTCATCGTAGGCTCCGGGAAATGCTGCTGGAGAAGTGGAGGGCAGGTAGGGACTGAGGCAGAGCCCAGGGTCAGGCTTGGCTGCAGAGAATGCCAAGGCCATATTCAGCAACTGCCCTCAGCCTTCTCACCCACTTGCAGGACCTCTCCAGGGGACCCTGGATTCAGGAAGGCAACTCAGCTGAAGCTAGGGGTGGCAGCACTGTGGTGTTATTCCTGATACTGGAAAGCCACAGAAAGCTACAGCTCCTAACCAGGGAATATTCTGGAATACTAGCCCCATGGAGTATTATGCAACCACAAGAACATATCAGAGGCTTTGCAGAACGGTGAAGGGCAACTTAAGAGTTGGCTGGGGGTAAGCTATCATCTGAGTAAGTCGGGCTAAGATGAATTCATGCAGATAACTCATAGGACACAGTAAAATGAAAGCACATAGCATAGGGCCCGCAGGGAAGGTGCCAGATTCTGTGGTCATAGGTACTAAGACTGTTACAGCAAGGCCCTGGGCAAAGCAGGATCCTCTGAGACCCAGCCACAAGGTGGGAAGGAGAGCAACAGAGCTGGATAAAGATGTCAGCCTTCTGGGCCAGCAGCCACCCAGAGGTGCTAGATAGCATCAAGAAATTGTGCTAAGGTCCTAATCTCTTGGCCTCATCCAGCCTTTTTGTGCAGAGACACAGACTAAAAGGTCTATGCTGAAGATGTCCTGCTGCCTGGGATTCACTTCCCGACAGTGGGTAGGCACGTGACCTGTGTAGGGACTACCTAGCAACACCTCCGAACACAAGTTCACATGGCCTCCGGGGCGAGGCTCTGGGTTCCTCTATGTGCAGTGTTCTCTCAGGTCTCTCTCTGGGTGCCACAAGGTAATCGATTTATGAAACTGCTCTCTCCCTCTCTCACTTCCTTCATCTTTCTCAAGTTTGTGCTTTATGCAAAGTGTTGGGTAGCAGGGGAGGAGGAGGAACAGGGGTGTTTTGGATTGAGTCTCTGCTATGAATTTAGCTGAAAGCACAGGGCCGCTACGTGGGCGCTGCTCTGGGTGCCACACAGTCAGCAAGGCATGCTGTTCTCTGCTGGACCCCATGGGTTCATCCCCACAGAAAGGCCCCCCCAGGAAGGGCCAGGAGGGCAGGTCAAGCCTGCAGCATACCCTCAGGCCCCACCCCTACATTTAAGATATCAACATGGGAAAAGGAGCTTTGGCTGCAGTCCTCATCTGTGACCTTCTGACTCAGGCCTGCTGGTGTGTATGCTGACAGTAAAGTACGCTGTGTCAACACACGCTCAAAACAGACCCAACCCAGCAGCAACCTGGGCAGGGAGCCCTATGGCTATGGGGGCAGAACACTGCCCGAGCCTGGCTTGGGCAACCCTCACAGGAATAACACTCTGGGACAGCAAGTAACCTTTCCTCAAATTGACCCTTTCTGCCACTTAAAACCATATTTCACTCCACTTTTTTCAATGAACAAAATAAAAAGTGCAAGATTGCTGGTGGGTCCTGTGATGCCAGACATGGCCATGGGCTTCACCTACTTTCTCAAAGGGAATCTCTGGGACCTTCCCACAGCCTATCCCTGTGTGGACAGAAGGAAGGAGAACCTGCAGAGGGACAGAACCACAAAACCGCACTCAGCCAGCATCAAAAGGACATGCCACAGCAGCCAGACAGTGACAGAGAGACAGAAGTGGGACCACTGAAGTGCCTGCCACATTTGTACGCAGAAGGAGAGGACAAAGCCCAATTATGGTCTGAGGGTCTAAGTCAACCCTGAGGACTTCTGTGTCACCCGAGTCATAGGCAAATTCTCCACAAATGAACACTTGGGACCATGTAGCAAGCAAATGTTTTGCTTTTGCAGTGTCAAAAAGAAAAATGCCCAGTGTGACATCTTCAGCTTTCCCAGATCTGCCCCGCTGCTTCTGAGGCATCCTCAGACACTCCCTCTTGCCCTCTCCACAGCTGAGACTTTCACCTGCTGCTGGACCTGGAGAAGCCCTGCTGAGTATGACCAGACATGCCCTCACAAGACTGGATGGTGGGGTCCAACCCCGGGCTCTACCAACAGAACTCATATGCTTCCATCAACTTGGGTTAGTCTCAGAAAGTGTCTCAGGCCTGAGCCTGTATGTGGTCACTGTCAGTGCAACCACCAGCACCTCTTGGTTGGCTCCCTCACAGTCCGCACGCCCTGAGTGCCCTTGGGGTATACTTTCTAGCAGTATGTAGGAAGTATATACCTACTTTTTACTTGGTAGGCCTTTTCTTTTTTTTTTTAATTTCAAACAGGGTCTCTACACAGCTCAGACTCATAGTGATCCTCCTGTCTCAGCCCCCTAGTGCTGGGATTACAGGTGAGCACCACCAAGCCTAGTTCCAGGGTTTGGCACAACATGCAGTACTGGGGATCAAACTCAGGACTTTGTGCCTACCAGGTACATGCTTATGCCACAGAACTATCTCCCAGCCCTACCTGGTAGGTCTTCATGACAGCATCAAAGGCTGCTCAACTCACATTTCCACAGCTCCCAGCAGAGCTGGAGATCTCCATGGGGTTGCGTCAGTGCCCCCCTCCCCTGGAAGTGTGGCTAGGAGCTACTCATGAGCCACTTGCACCCTGACCACAGTCAGCACATTGTCAACAGCCCTCACAGACTGACTCTTAGGTCCTCTAACAAGGAGGCCTAGAGCACAGAATGCGGCATTCAGACTTACCGTGGCGGTGGGCTGCTGGAAGGCCCCCAGCGAGGGCAGGCTGTGCGCCAGTCCGGGCCCCTCGCTCACTGGAGGGCTACACATGCATGGCACCAGGGACGGAGCTGCATCCACAAGGGAACCAAGGACCATGCTCTGCTGGCTGCTCTGTGAGTCTGAGTACACCGTGGAGCCCTGGCCACTGTCGAAGGTGCTGTCCGCTGGGGAAGACAGAGGTAGGACTTAGCGGGGCACCTTCCAAATGCTACCCCGCACAGCACTGTGCACAAACACCTGGTAGTGTGCCTGTATTGTCCCTTCTGTAAAACAAAGACTGGACTGTTTCCAAAATTACATGCATAATGCATCTGTGCTGATTAAATCATCAGCTGCTGCAGCCGCATGGGGGAGCTGTAGCTGTCCCCGCACTGACATGGGCTGAGGTAAGGTGGCACAGATGCCAGGGTGGGCATGATGCACAGTCCCTGCTGGGAAGCAGATACCATACCCAACCCCACTCCCAACTCACATACGCAAACCTATCAAGCTTTGATAGCAAGCACTGTTCCAGCCCTCAAAGACACAAGCACTCAGGGGGCTGAAGTAACAACATCACAATTAGGAAAAGGCTAATGTTATAATTTAGAAGAAACTATTATTGCCAGGCATTCTGTTTTGTTTCTTACAGCACTGGAAATGGAAGCCAAGACCTCTGCACAGAGCTACATCCCCAATCCTTTTCATTTCTTATAAGATAGTCTTACTAATTAAGTTGCCTAGGGACGATTTAAACGTGTGGTCCCACCTGACTCAGCCTCCCTCAGTACAAGCCCGAACAACCATGCCTGGTTCTACTACCACATTTTATGAAGACAGCTTTTGGGACTTTGAGCTTTCCCATTCACAGGAAAGGCCCTGCCCCAGGAGGACAGACCATCAGGAGGCAGGGGCAGTATTGAGTATAGACAGCCCCAGACAGGCGCCCAGAGGCTGGCCACACCCAGGTCAGGCTGGCCCAGATGGAATCCAATGCACATGGAGAAGTCCAGACCAGAACCCCACAGCCCATGTGCCTGTCTCACCTGGGAAGACAGCTTGCCAGTGTAGTTGTGCTGTGAGAAGGGAAAGCTGAAAACCTATCTGAAATAGCACTGTGGGTCACTGCTTCCAGATTTCAAAAGCCATAGACACACTGGGATATACCACCTCTAGATACCAAGTCATTTTCTTGTGTCTCAGAATGAGGACTGTGCCCATTGATAATTTAGACAAAATAAAGGGGAAGTCTTGTTGGCTTTGCATTAAAATGATTTTCTAAGGGACTAATGAGAATTAATTTTAACCTAGACGACATAAGGATTGCTGAGGTTTAATTGGGCAAAACCAATTAGACAAGAAGCTCGATTTTTAATGAGCCAACTGGTCAGTCCCACTCAGACAAACAGGAAGAGGAAGGGGGAGGAGGAGGAGGAGGAGGAGGAAGAGGAGGGAGCACGTGCTGGGCCTGCAAGGCACAATGCGGCATCTCCAACCACAGGTGCAACATTCTATATTTCAAAAGTAATGTGTTTATTACTTATTAAATTGAAAATTAATTTTAGAAGTCACTTTGGGACCTAATGAGAACTGTATTGTTGCAGTCTCAGCTGCTTAAGTAGCCAGGTCTGACAAGGACCGCTGGGAGTGGCTAAAGGAAGACATCAGCATCATGAAAGCTGCTGCGGTGCTCTCTTCTCACGAGCAGAACGTGCATCTATTTGCCCACCCTGTCACCTGTAGGACCTACTCAGAGGTGTGTGCCGCCTGCCATCTCCTAAGGCTCACATGAGCACAACATTGTGAGATATTATACACTCTGCAGTCAGAGGGAGATGAAGCCCCAGAGTGGCCCAGAGCATGTGTGCTGCAGTACCCACTATAGAACCGAGAAGGACACAGAGGTGTGTTTGCGTGTGTGTTTATGTGTGCATGTGCGTCTGTACACGCCTATGTGGCCATATGAGTATGAGTCTATGCATGTGTGGTCCTGTATGCACATGTGGGGTATGTATAGGTATGTGCATGCTCACATGTATACATACATGGGTCTGTATTCATGGGTGAATGTACATGGGTATGTACACACACATGTACATGTGAAGTATGCATGTACTTGTGCATATATAGATATCCATTTGTGAGCATGCATCTGCATGTACATGCCTATGTCTGCCCGTGGGTGCATATGTATTTGTGTGTCTACATGTGCCTGGTGGATCACTTGTGTAGATTATCTATGGAAGAAGAATTAGCAGACTTGTAGAGGGTCTTGCTGGGAGGACAACTGGTTTGCTACACACTCTCAGAGACATTTTGAATTCTATACCCACTGACTATGTCACCTAGTTTGAGAATTGTGGCCATGACCTTTCCACAGGGGACACAGGTAAAAAGTGGACTGAGAGCTCACCCACACCCGATATGCACACCTGAGATGCACATCACCATCTAATTTCTCGGTATGTCAAACCCAATCAACAACAGAAAAAATTTATTTATAACTCCTTAACTGGGTTTCCTTGAAGTGCAATCAATGGAAATCATTTATTTTCCATCCTAAAATTTGTCCAACAATTACAGGTCTAGCATGTGTGCTGGAGTATCTGCTATGGAGAACCTTTACCCACAAAAAACTTGTGCTGTTTGATTATTTTAAGATTCTCAGAAAATGGAGCAATGATGTAGCAACATTCTTCTCCAAAGCAAACCTGAGCAGGTGGGAGTGATGCAAACAGCGACAAAGTCTCTTAAATAAAAGTTGAGGCTACTTGCTAGAATAGAAATATCTATTGTGAAGAATCTCCAGCTATTTCAAGGATGAGAGATGTACACATTAAATAAATTAAGAGAGTTTCTGTCTTTCCACAAGAAAAACCTAAAATATCAGCCTGGGCTGGTCACTGGGCTCTGTAAATCCGCTGCAGGCTGCTTGCCAGAGTGGCCGAAGCCACATTCCCTGTGCTCAGCTCACAGCTGAACTTTCAGGCCTGGAGGGCAAACACAGGACAGTTCTGTGCCCATGGTGCAGAAGAAACCAGATCCTCTCATATGATCCTTGATGAAGCCTGCCTCAAAGGGACTCCCAAGTCATCAGTAACTCCTTGGCAATGATGAACAAAAGAGCTTAGAGGCTTTGCCACTGGAAGGGAGAAATAAAGGAAGTGGACAAACCCAGGGTGAGCGCTTAGCATGCTCATCCATGGCGGACGCATCCCCTCACCAGAGCAGACGGTGGCACCTCGCCCGGCTTTCATGTCCCCCTAAGAGGCTGGGGCTATTTGTCTCCAAGACAGAATAAAGAGCCTGCTTGAAGCCCAGATTCAGAGATGGGATTGGGAACTGAACCAGCTCTGTCCAACTCCACTGGCTTAAGGCACTTTTGACCCCATCTGACCTAAGAAGATGGACTCCAGCAAGTCCTAAACCCTCTGTTCACAGGCCACTGGAGAATGTATGGAAAGCCTGAGCCCTTTTCCTAGAATGACACTCACCTGTACCTATTCTCCAGACTGCACAGGACGGACTGTGAGCCATCACAGACTGGCCAAGGAATCAGGAGCTAAGTGCCCTAGTTTGTGGTGGCCCCATCACCCCAGAATATGCCTTCCTTCAAATATGGTGATAGGCCCTGGTGCCAGGAAGGCTGGCAGGAAGTACACCTGGCCAGGGCACAGAGCCCAGCCAGAGCTCCCAGGTACCACCTGCAGCTGGAAGCAGTAACCTAGTGCGAGGACAGCTCAGAGCTCATATCACACTCCAAGCTGCGACCTCAGCAACCTGGCCCTCTCACAAAATATTCTAATACAGGGGAGACTTTCTCTTTGCCCTACAGCTGGTTTCACCAGAGGGGAGCAGTGGGGACACAACAAGCCAAAGGGACCCCACTCTGTACATACTCACAAGCCAGGGAGGTGGCACTGGCTGGCAGTGCCGGGGGTAGGAGGTGCTGGTCAGCCTCTGGCTCCTCAGGCTCAGGTGGCCCTGGCTGCCCAGCCTGTGCGTGGTAGGTCACCTGGACCTGCAAGGGCGCAGGTGGACCCCTGGCCTTGTCAGGGCTGCCTGAGTCCCTTGGCTCCTGGGACTGCAGTGCGGGCCAGATCCTTTCCCGCCGCCACTGGATCAACGCCACACGGTCACGAATGGACTTGGCCACAATCTTCACGTCGCTTTCATGAAAAAATCCAGAGTCAATCTGCAAAGGCAGTTACATCATCAGTGTCTCAGGGAGCAGACTCCCACCTGTACACCCCACCACCTGGAATTGCTACCATCCTTGTACCACAGGCTTCAGATTGTGGGCTTCTGTCCTCAGGGTCCCCTCACCCCACCTGAAGGGATTCCTTGCAGCATCCCATGAGTAACTGCCCACTGAAATCACAGGCAACTGGTGCACAGCAAGTGCTCCATGACCTCCCAGCCCCTGCCATGCCCTCTACACAGAGGCAGGAGACCATTCTGCTAATCAGGAGCAACACATGTGCACTGGTAGCCAGCAATACCCTGAGAGCCATTCACCATGCTCAGAGTTTGAGAGCATTTGCCAAAGAGCTCCTAGCTCTCCTGGAAGCACGATGAGTTTGCTGAAGGACATACTCATGGCAGACCACATTCTGCAGACAAGCCCCTTCTGAAGGGCTGCTCCGTGAGCGGTTCCAGGCAGGGGTTCCTAGGGAGGGGTCAGCTGGGGAACCACGGAGGGAAGCACATGACTATGCAGAGCTGGCCAGGCAAGGACAAACACAAGGAGCAGAGCAGCCAGGCTCCTCCCACACAGTAAGGCAGGGAGCCCGAATAAGGACCTGTGGTCCTGGGTGGGACCACAGCCGGCAGCGAGAACTGCAGAACCAGTGAGCAGATCACAAGTCCTCATGAGTTCTGCCCACCCACAGGCCTGGGGCACAACATTAATAGGCCTGTGAGGCTCAGCTGCTGGGGGAAGGAGGACAGGAAAACCATGAAGAAGAACTCCAAGAATGCCAGGAACATGCAAAAGGACACAGGAGCCAGCAGCAGGGCCACCTGCCAACAAATCTTGACACACATGAACATCAAAATGAACAGCGATACAATGTTGATTTGAAAAGCAACAGTGTCCTAAATCTGCATTAGTGTAGTGGGGCGCAGGAATACAAATCATCTGCGGGGCAGGCCAGAGTTATCTTGGTGGTTAGTTGTATGTCTCTGTCTGTCTGTCTGTCTGTCTCTCCCCCGCCTTCACTCCATCCCTCCCTCCCTCCTCTCCTCTGTTTCTCTGTAATTCTAAGTCTCAGTTTCTCTTTCTTTTTCTGTCTCCCCAGTGTCTCTCTGTCTGTCTCCCTCCTTTTCCCTTGGGCATCATCTGCTCCAGGAAAAGACCTGTCGTGAGATGCCATCCACAGAGGTCCACCCAACAGAAGCCTGAGGTCTCCTGATCCGAGAGCCAGCACATCGGAGCCTGCAGCCCTGGCTGATGCCTGACTGTACCCCACACCCTGAATTGCCCTCGACCCTAACCTTGGAGACTCTGTGGGCCAGACTCTGCAGGTGCCTAGTTTGGGGAAACCTGACACCAAGCAGTGGGCAGCTCCTCCATGAGGAGAACCTCCTGAATACAATAAAGTACACTGTATCTATAGAGAGCTAGAAAAGAATGGAAAGTAAGAGAGAAACAGGTTGCATCAGTTAACGCCATTCCCCCAAGAAACACTTCGGTGTAGGAGGCAAGAGTGACCTCTCAAGGACAAGTCACAAATGTCCCTGCTCTAAGCCCTTACAGCTAGCCTCCTATGAAATGGAACATGAAAGCTGGGTCAGGAACCATCCTCTTCCACCAGGTTTCTGTAGATGCCCCACAGCCTGCGTGACCCATCCTAGAGAGACACTGAGCCATGCCCAAGGGTCAGACCATGACAACTGGGGGACTGAAGGATTACAAGAGCACACAACACTGGCCCAGTACTCATGTTATGGCAGTGTTTCCAGGACATAGAAGGCCTGAGCAGCTTAAGGATGGACTGTGGTGACAAGCCAATGCCACTTCTGATGTTAACTACTGTGTGGAGTTGTACAGGGAAATGTCCCATTTGGTAGAAACGGAGATGTATTAGGGCTAGTAGGCATCTGCTTGGCAACTTATTTTCAAATGGTGCATGAGGAAAAACCAGCTGTCTGTTAGTATCCTTGCAACTTTGTAGTGATTTTGCCGTAATTTTTAAATAATTTATTTGGGGCCAGGCATGGCTATAAGCACTCCAGGAGTCTAAGGCAGAAGGACTGCAAGTTCGAGCCCTGCGTGTGCAACTCAGCAACTTGATGAGATCCTGTCTCAGAATTAAAAAATAAAAAATAGGGGCTGGCAAGATAGCTCAGTGGATTAAGCACCTGCTTAGGCAAGTGCAGGGACTAGGGTTCAATACCCAGTACCACATGTCACACCAGACCAGCCCCTGGGCATGCTGAGGGGGTGACCAAGTCCAGGCATGGAGGCGCAGGCCTATAATCCCAGTGCTAGGGAGGCTGAAAACTGGAAGATCACTACAAGTCTGAGCTGTATAGTGAGACTCTGTACACACACACACACACACACAAAAAAAAAAAAAAAAGTGAAGGATATAGCTCAATGAAAAAGTCTTGGATTCAATATTAGAGAGGGAAAAAATTATTTTGAAAGATGATTCTACTCAACAGAATGAAGATCCCTCATGAGACAGCTGAGTCAGGCAGAAGTGGGAGCAGTTGAGGCATACAGCCAGGCCAGGGCCAGCAGAAGGGAGGCCAGAGGTAAGCACCCATGGGTGCAGCCATCAGCCTGCCTGGAGAGCTCCAGGAACAGGATGCTCTCTCATCCCAGAGAAGATGAGGCTCAGGTCCTCTTCTGCCATAAAGTCAGGAGCCCCAGGATCCAGCCTTCAGGGCCTTTGTGGGGAGGCTGGGAGGGCCTGACTAGCTAATGCTGCTTGTGGGCTAGGGTGGGCATCCACTGCTTATACCTGGGGGTAGGTGTACAAAGGGAGCCAGAGCTTGTGGCTGAAATCATCCCTAATGCCCCAGGTGCTTGGGTCACAGCAAGGCTGATGGCCTCATGCCTCCAGGTTTGCTTCTATTTTCTACCACCCTTACTCACAGCCGATTATCCTTTCCTCTCCATCTTCACAGTCTCCCAGACTTCCTCACCATGGCATTTCAATTTTTCTCCCACACAGGTAAGAATGCAGCTGCATTCTGTGCCACCCTGGCAGGTCACATTATCTGGAGTCCTGAAGCGAAAGGAAGGGCTGGCCTGGCAATCCCACTCCCCTCCCTGGGTGCAGAGTCTGACTCCCTGAAGGCAATCAAAGGCGGGCAGCCCAGGGCCACACTGTGCTCAGCCTCACTCTCTGTCCTATTGATCAATATGCCTTCTTACATGCCCATCTTTGTCCCCGCCCCCCTCGAGAGGCCATCTGGACTCCAGAGCATCTCTGACACTAAGCACCTTATGTCTTGGTTTTTAAGAGCAGCCCCAGGTCTCAACGTTTCCCTGGATCCACAGTGTAACATCCTACGGCAAGACCCCTCCAGCCTGAGTCCAGGAAGGGGCTGGTGGCAAGACTCCAGGAAGGGAGGGCAGACCCCTCAGCGATGACCCTGGGCCAGTCTACAATGGGTGTGAAGGAGGAGGGTGAGGCTGGAACCTAGACAGGCCTCCTGGGCCCAGCAAGGACAAGACAGAGCTACACACAAGACAGCCCCACAGGAATGGTCCTAGAATAGAGCCCCATGGCTTTCAGCTGGTCATGGGCAGCTGCCCAGGCCCCTCAATGGAGTAGAGACCCAGTCTACTTCACTAGGACTCTGTACCTGAACACAGCTCAGGTTCCTCTGCAGAGATTACTTTTCATGGATGGTACATCTTGTGATGAAAATCAGGGTAAGAGATGGATGGTACAAAAGGAGGGAAGTAAATAGGAGGGGAGGGGTGCCAGGGCCAGGGTCCTCACTAGAACTGAGCCAGGGATGCAATCTTAAAATCAGCCAAATGCCGGGGACTTGTTGAGGTGTCCCTGATGTGTGGAAGGCCATCCTACACTGATGGTAAGTGGGGATGAGGCAGACTGTTGAGGGGCTCCTGCCCTGACAACAGCTGAGCAGAACCCAGGGCACATCTGGGTTCGGGTAAAACCACAGTCAGGGGAAGCAAAGCCAAACAGGGAGACTGAAGTCTGGCTGAGGCCCAGATGACCCCAGAATCTGGACATTCAGAATCCAGTCATCTGGGATACTGGGCACAGTCCCCAATGCACCGCCCAAGCCAGGATGGTCCCCCTGGTGTCCCAGTCATCCTGCTGCACCAGACCTCCTGGCTTAGCTCCCAAGCCCATCGCACCCTGATGAGCATCAGGCAGGCACTACCATATTTGTGGAAGGAACAAGAGAACCTCCTTTCACCTGATCCTCCAAGGGCATCCCACCACACCAAAGCCAGGATGCTTTCTGCAAGGCCACAACCAGTGTGGTGCTCCTGGGACTCTCCTCACACCCATATGGGACTTCTCCATCTCCCTGAGCCACTGGCCGCCTCTGGTCATCCTGGTACAGCAATGATGGCCAGTATAGCATCCTTGGAAGGACACCCTGAGCACTCAGTTGGCACCAAACCTCAGATCCCACGCACCCACAGCCAGCATGGCTCTTTACACTTCACCACCTGTACAACAAGAAGTATGGGGCACAGCTGTCACATCACTGAATAGAAATGGCACTTGTGACAGAAAGGATGGACAAACTAGCGATCCTCTGAGTGTTGCATGCAGTACATCTCCATGGTTCAACTTGAAAATGCAACTCTGTGCACACCATCCCACTGCCAAGAGCCATGGAAAGCCATTCAGGAAGCACAGTCTGGCCTCCCAAGAGTGACAGGCTCACAGCAGGTTTCTGTGTCTGGGCTGGGAATGTGACCAATGGGGGTAGACCAGGCCAGGGACACAGATTACCACCTTGCAGCCTCCAGGGGAGACAGTGCAACTGTCCCCCTAGAAAAGCTGGCCTGGGCTCCAGCCACCAAGGGAATGTCACACCCTCCCTCTCCTTCACAGAGCCACCGCAGCCCTGGACACAGGCCACTGTCCAGGGACAGGCAGACCCCTTAGCCAGTCACCAACGAGCCCACAAGGCATTCCTCAGGATCCCAAGCTCCAGGTGCTGAGATCATGCCCTTATGCTTATGTCCTCCAGAATGCTGGGGGGCGGGGGGATTCATCCTGTAGCTATGGAGAGGCCAGGCTGGCATAGGGCCTGTCCCTGGCATCCCTGTAGCCTGGGACCTGCGACCCTCAGCTCACTATAACTCCTTAGCCATGTACAAACCCCAGAGGTGGCTCCATTACACCCACTTCCCCCTCTGGGGTTCACGGCTGTGAGGCTGTGGCTCCCTTCTCAACCTCCATGCAAACCTATAGCTGCAGCCCTGTGGGCCCCTTATGTCCCATGTGCCCCTGCCCACAGGCAAACACCAGGCTCAGTGAGCTCCAAAGGCTTATATACCTTCCATGTTACAGTCAAGCCTCAGTTTCCCCATCTGAGCAGGGACTCAGGAGTTGCAGTGCAGACAGTACTGAACCTTCTGAGGCCCTCCCCACCTTTCTTCACCCTACACAGCTGGCACTTACAGACTCTCCCAAAAGATGTGCTTTGTTCAGGGCAAAACCTATTTGAGAACAAATTTGAAGGCTGAGCATCAATCATGACAATGACATGTCAAGCCAATGGCTCTCCTGCACCAAGCCACTGGGTTCACTTCTTATCAGTGTTCCCACTAAATATGAGCAGCTTCTTCACTCCTAACTTGCCTCTTCCTCACCCTGCTGCACAGAAGGCCCTCCTGAGCTGCTGTTCCAGGAGCCCTTGCTCTTGCCTTGCAGTGCAGACGTGTCTGATGTACTGTCTAAGCTGGCTCACCTTTTACAATCAACACAGATAACTGCCCTCTGACCTGCTACAGGGCTCTCAGAAGACCACAGCATCCCCTCCTGGACGAAGTTCTCCCCTGTGGTCTCGGGAGCCATCTGCCCACCGCACTTTGCAGACAAGCCCCAACAGCAGATGTGACCACCTCTGCATGCCCAAGGCCCAAGCAGTGCACCCAACAGATCACTCCGGGGACAACGCCCTGTGAGGTTCAGTACAGGAGCCTCAGTCCCAGGTAGCATTAAATGTGACCAGTGAAGCTGAATTTTATGCTTCTGTTGCACTAATTAAATTTAAAATTCATTAAATTTTAGTAGGCTCAGAAGGGTTGTGACTACCATTTTGGATGGCACCAGACTAGAGAACTGAGTCACAACAATTTTGAGCATCTACAGTTTGAGAAACTGGCAGCCCCTGGTCCCCTGCATGCCCCGACCACGTCCCACACTTGCCACGTGTTCATCAATGGCATCACCACCATGGAGTCAGCATGGTGGCTCTGCTCCTCTGTGCTGGTCGGCACCAACTGGCTGCATCTCCCACCTCTCACCCCAGTGGGCTGTGGTCCAGCCATCTCGAGGTCCAGCTGGACTCTCCAGGCAGAAATAGGTCACTCCCCTGTTGATCCCAGACCCTCAATCCCAGCAGAGAAATGGTGATGGAGGGGCAAAGGGAAAAAGGGGCAGCACTTGCTCTTCCATCACCTCTTGGGTGGAAAAATACCAGAAAACAAAGCAACCCCACAGCAACTCCAAAGCAAATAGACAGACAATGATACCACACTGGAGCAAATTCAGCAAAAATGTGGCCAAAGCTGGCCTTTCCCAGCTGACCCCCTCCACTCTCACAACTGACTCCTTCCCTGCACTGTGCCCCAGTAGCTTCTCTCTGCATCCTGCGCACTGAGGAGACTCCAAGCTTTCTTGTCACTGTACACACACCTGACCACACAGCAGGGCCCCCAGCCTCCCTCTCAGGCCTGCCACACCCAGCCCATCCATGCTGGCCACTCCCCTGGATGGCTCATCCTTCCCCCTAGGCCCCCTTAGAGAATCTGCCAGTCCACAGCTTTCACTCCACTATTTAGAAACCACATGCTCTGGACAGCACCCCAGCCTTGCCCGTGTGCATCTGAGCTTGCTTATAGGATGCCCGAGGTTTGCACACATTACCATTTCCTGAGCCACCTCGTCAGGGGTTTCCTTCTCTAGGTCGAAGGTGAACTCTATGGCTCCATTGTCCTTGGGCTTGCCCTTCAGCTTCTTGGGGTCTTCCACCCAGAGCCGCAGGGCGATGGTGGACTTTCTGCCATGGTCCTCCTCTGCCAGTTCCACCCTGACACCAGTGTCCTCCGCAAAGAAAGCATGGCTCAGCAGATCTTTGATCTCATACCTGGAGGAAGGGTATGGGCTTAGGGACAGGTGGACTCCACACCCAAGGACATGCACACAGCACTGCCCTGGAACACCAGGTGGCTACCTGGCGTGGCTCAGCACTGGGCTGGCTATGCTAGAAAGTTCTCTGGTTTCACCACATGGCAAGCAGGCTCAGCACTAAGGGAGTCTCCTAGCCATAAGAATTTGCATTCGTATACTCCCAGGAAGGAAGAACTGGTTCCCGTCAGAATATGCCCTTCCCACCTCATGCTCTAAGACTTCCTTTCTTCTCCCTGCCCACTGCATAGACAGAGCCCCTGCTGATGTGCACATGAGCTTTCCATCTTTACAAGAAAGCCCTGGCTGTGGGTGGGAGCCCCTCATGCAGTGTGCTATGATGGGGGTCCTGGGCTCTCTGGAGCAGTGGATTTGTGGGGAGGCTTCCAGCAGGAGAGGAGGGGGCATGTAGGCGTGAGAAGAGGGAGAACAGGGAGGTGAGCAAGGACCTACAGGACCCAGGGGTGGAGCGGGCCCTAGCCATGGGAGGCACTATAGGGGAATGCAGTGCTGGGCAGCTGGGTGTTGCCATGGTGACCACTTTCAACTCAGCACAAACATACATCTCCAAAACCAACCCTGCTCCCTTTTTGGCACAAATATAATCACATAGCAAGCAATTTTATGGGTCTGGCTTTCTCCATTATCTTCAGAGCCACCCATCCCCTATAGATGCCTGTGGGTGTTTTGTGCCCCAGTTTGTTTAAGGGGGAGGGAAGGCTGAAAGATGCCCCCCCACCGCTTCCTGGATGTCCAGCTGGAAAGGGTGATTCTACTCTGAGTGGGAAGATGGCTTCATGGAGGGACGAGAGGGCCCGAGGTGGGCATGCTGCCTTAGAGACACCCAACAACTACAAGCCTAAGTACACTGGGGTTCAGAATACAGTGGGGCAGACCTAGGAGTCCCAGGCATGGAGAAGGTCATCAAGGTATAGGAAATGGATACAATTCCTAGGGATAATTAGAGAAAAAGCAAAGAGAGGCAGAAGGAGGCCTCAATTTATCAAATGCCCCAGCCTGGGTCAGAAATGCATCAAGGATGGCAGAGAGGGGAATACGGCTGAGGCTACCCACACCAGCTCCCAGCCTGGTGTCACTGTGGCCTGAGCTAGCCTGCCTGGCATCTGAAGGGGAGGAGGGTCTAAATGCCACCTGGAATTATTTCAGTTGGAGGAAGCCCCAGACCCCAAAAGCCACCCTGGAACTCACCTTTCCTCCTTGTTCTTGCAGATGCACTCTCCAATAATCTCCTTGATTTCAGGATCATGCACTTTCTCAAAGCTGGCCGGCTTGATGCCCTGAGGAAAGAGTAGAGCCACCTGATGCCACTGAGGGGCAAGGAGGTACACTCTGTGCAGGGAAACTCCTCCAACCATGACAGGAGAAGTGGCACAGTGCTTGTACTTCCTAGTTACTAGGAAACTAAGCAAACTATGCCAAATGGCCACATTCAGACAGTGAATGATGGGCTGCAGAATGAGAGCTCAGAGAAGTGATCCATGTGGTTTTCCCTCCTACAACGCAGTTCCCTGCCTGCACTAGTCCCCTGAGTGAAGCAAAGCATGCAGGCCAGCCTGGGATCTCAAGGAGCTGAGAGTAGGGCTCAGATTTCAGGGAGGCTGAGGAGGCCACAAGGTAGAGTTCTAGAAAGGAAGGAACTCCAAATGTATACAAGGGTCCTGACCATAAGTGTGTGCTTAATGCCACAGGGCTGGACAAAGAAACCACTGGGGAAACTACAGGTAGAGCCACTCCCAGAGTTTGTGCCAAGGACAGATAATGTCATGTGTACAGTGCACAGCATGTGATCAAAAATTACTAGATATACTGGGAGGCAGGAAAATGTGACCTGGTACCTCGCAGGAAAACCAGTCAAAAGAAATCTCCACAAGGAGATTAAAGCTCATTATGGCTACATGTAAGTCTTAAAAAGGAAATGAACACAGCGAGGAACAGAAATACAGACATAAAAAAGAGCCAAGTGGAACCAGAAATGAAAAACATGACATCTGAATTGAAAGTTGCACTGGAGCAGATCAACCGCTGGTCAGACACTGCAGAAGAAAAGATGCAGCAATCAGATCCATCAGATACAAAGATGGTTACTGGGGCTCCGTTCCTTTGCCTCAGAATATGGGACACCAGCAAGGGTGAAACAGGAGGACAGGATGGAGGAGGGATAGGAAAATGCCTGAAGGAACGAGGGCTGAAGACTTTCCAGCTGTGATGAAAACCCCATGCGCATGGATGTAACACGCTTAAGCCCCAGGCAAGATAAAGCAGAGAAGGTGAATTGTGTGCAGCCCCTGGGGTGCAACGTTTCATCTTCCTGTGCACTGTGTGAAGCTTTAGCCTGCTTTCATACCACTTAGGTCTCTGCATGAAAGATACTTTCTCAGGCTACTCCACATCTGTCAAAGTGTGCAGCAGCCACCACGGATGCCGGCCCCGGCCTTGCACCTGACGTGTCCCCCCACATCTCCACGATGACCATCACCCAGCAACAACACACAATCAGGGCCCACCTGTGCTGCACAATGTGGTACTGGGCTTGACATCTCAAATACAGCAGTGAGGTTCTGGAAAGGTGCTGCTCAGAGCTTGGCTGCATAGCCTCCCCCACCTGGAGCTTCAAGGACCTCAAGGGCCAGGTGCCTCATTGCTGGGCAGTGGAACCACAACATGCGGGTGGATCCCACCCTTCCCACAAGGCTGGGCCTCTCTAACTACACCTGGGCCTCCTCCCCACATGCCTTCTCAGAGGGCAAGAGCATCATTTGCAGTCACTGCTGCTAGCCAAGGAGACTTTTGGGGACAGGTACTGGTCTGAGGGCCTCAGCCATTCACTGGTTAGCTGGTGGCCAGGTGCAGAGGGAACATGGAGAGCCCCACAGCAAAAGCAGGAGGCAGCATGGTCTATATGCAGTCTGCAGGGCTTTGGAGTGGGGAACAGGTCAGTAGAGTGCGCAAGTTATCTAAAAATAATTTCAATACATCAAGGGCACCAGACATTTCATTCTTCTTCCTTCAACAAGATTCAGCCTTTGAAAGCCTTGATCTGCCTTTTTTTGTTAATATAGAGAAAAAGAAAGCATAAAATTTCCCAAGAGATGGAGGCAAGGATAAGACATCTCAGTGAGCCTACCAGTAGGCACTGGAGCCCCCAGTGGAGGAGCAGACATGTAAGTGGACAACCGCGAGGTAGCAGCGTCCACCTGCCTGGTCAGGAGCATGCCAAACACTGAGCCTACAAGGCTCCCTGTGGACACACCAGCATCGACATGCCAACAGGAACCCGACATGCCAAGGGAACTCGGGGCCGCTCTCCCTACCTACCTCACACTAGCATTTCCCCTGGACCAGCAGATAAGAGCCCCAAATCTCTCTGTCCCCCCCCCACTTCCTGCTTGTCAGACTGCCCTTGTCTCCCCTGGAGAGCTTTGTGGATCTCTGCTCCTCTGTGGAGTTTCTGAGCCAGACCCCCAGCCAAGGACTCCACCTGTCATCCCCTGTGCACATCTCACACACTAGCAGCAAAGGACAGCCAAATGCCTGAACATTTGGTCAAAAGAGAGATGTGTATCATCTACAAGGAGGGCTTGGATGGGGCAGAGCCCAGGGTGAAACGGTAGGGGTCCCGGAGCCACATTTATGTGTATCTGCAGAAGCAGCTTTCGGCCACCCAGACGCCCATGGCAGAGCTGCATGGAACAGCTTCACACACAGTCAGAAGCACCCAAGAAAGGCAAAAGCAGCAAGGACTCTGGGATTACAGGGGCCAGGGCTGAGCTCAGGCCTCCTGATCTCACTACATAAACAGAAATGGAACAGCAGAGGAGGCACCGCAGGAAAGCCCAGGCCCAGCCACTGCCCCCCCCCCACACTCCTCTTTTTCAGTTCCCCCAGCCAATGGGGCCACCGCAGAGGGAGGACAGGGTCCATCTGTTTGTACAGCTGAAGCTGTCTTATCAACTCAAAAATCACAGCAATAGCAAAACAGAGATTTGGGCTCCCAGGCTGCCCAAAGCTACACTCACCTAGAGACACATTTGGTGAAGGCTAATGATTTGGTGAAAAGAAAAACAAACTACGGTTCCAAAATAAAGAAGATAGGGGACCCAGTAGCCCTGAGCCAGCCCAGAGATGGGGCTGCAGGGATAGTTTCTCTGGGTACACGTCCTGGCAGAGGGCTCTGCTAGAGCTACATTCTCCTGAGCCTCACCTTCCCAGATGTATGCACTACACAGAGCTGTGTACAGGACAGTCTGAGGTCAAGCACCCTCCATCACTTCTGCTAGGAGACAGCTAGGCCTCAGCTTCCCCCTCTGTAAGGCAGCTGCAACCCCTTTTCCTTCTACTGCTGCCGTGAAGGACTCTCCAGAGGCCTGCAGAGCCAGCCGAGGCTGCGGCCCATGCACGCTGCAGTAACAAGGTGGCTGGGGGGACTCACACAGGTGACCTTGCGGTAGATCTGGGCAGCGTTCTGGCACTCCGAGTAGGGGTACTCTGAGGTAGCCATCTCCAGCATGCACATCCCGAAGGCGTAGACGTCCACAGACTCATCGTAGTGCTCCTCATACATTTCTGGGGCCATGAACTCAGGCGTACCTGGGCCAGGAGCAAAACACACAGTCAGCTGGCCGCACCCCAGAATGCCGAGAGCCGGCGTCCAGGAGGCCCCTGGCCTCTCAGACCCCCACCTGCCTCCTCTCCATCTGGCCATCTGTCCTATGGCATCCTCAGGACACCCAGCTCTACAACATCTGTCCCGAAACCCAGGATTCAAACAGAGGTACTCCATGGTTTTCCAAACTCCCACCTGGAGCCACACGATTCCAAAGTTAGCTCAAAGCACCACCTCCTGTCCAGAGGACTACCTAGGACACACACAGCCCCTGCGCACATCCCTCTCCTATGTGTGACTGTTAGGCTTCTGAGGACAGGCTCAGCATGGGCTGCTCTCTGACATTCCAGAGCAGACAAGTACCCAGTGGTTACCACAGAGCTGCTTCTAGCAGCAGAAGCCCAGAAGGCCTAAGTGTCCCTGGGCAGGGCCATAGCTGGGATCATGACACGCTCTTGGGATGACCGTCATGTGGCACATGCAACTGTCCTCACCACAGAGCACAGCACCGTGGCTGGAAACCTGTCCACCGGACATGAATCACAGAGACACTAGGACAGGAAACACTGGTGGTGTATTAAACACAAAAGTAGCAGGACAGTGTTTGGTCCAAGCCTTGAAGGACACAGAGAAAACAATAGGCTTAATAAGTAATATAAGAGTATCTGCTTATGGCCTCACCTGCTTATGGCCTCACCTATGTAAAATGGCACACATAGCCAGAGGACTGTCTGGGGGAGAGGACCCCAGCTGATTGTCCTTTTACTTACTGAGTTTTGAATTTTTCTTTACTAAGCTTCTGCTTTAACAATCAAAAAGACTTTCATTAAAATAAGTCCAAAAGAGTGTTGAGCTGGACTCGATGAAGAGGAATCAGAGACTCTAGCAACAGCTTTTAACACTGTGTGTTTGCTGACTTTGCAAGATTTTTCCAAAGCATTCTAGTGTTTAAAAAAAAGATGCAAAATTGTACAAACGAATTCATTGCAGTAAAAAGCACATGCCAAGATTTCTTTTAAGGGCCAGCCTGATAGCTCAGCAGACTAAAAGAGCATGCTTAGGCAGAGTGCAGCAGCCGGGGTTTGATCCCCAGTGTGCCGTGCCGTGCTGGCCATGCCTGCAGGACGCCCTGAGAAGGCAAATGAGACTGGGCATGGTGGCACGCACCTGTAATCCCAGTACTTGGGAGGCTAAAAAAGGAGAATCACTCTGAGTCCAATCTACGTAGTTAGACCCTGTAGATCCTGCCATAAATACAGAAAAAAAATTTTTTTTTCTTTTACCCATCACTCAATTTAACATACATTACAGGTTCAACCAAAATAGTGAAGCTCTGGGAGAAAGCAAGACTATGCTCAGGGTTATGATCAGGAATACACAGCTCTGGAAAGCCCACCAGAACAGCAAGCACTTACTGCAGTCAGACCACCTTGCTTTAGAAAGTTTTCTCCTTTTTGGGTTTCAAACGACATGGTTGTATTTTTTTTCCAGTAGGTTGATATTCTGAACTTTTTGTTTTGTTTTGTTTTGTCCTATCCCTAAGCCTACTGCACAATAATGACCATGCTGCCCAGGCTGGGGCCAGAAGAAATGAGGCCACAAAAAACATAGTCACTCAGAGTCCAGACTGGTAACAACCCAAGCACCTGTTTTCAGTCCCCTCTAACCCGGTCACACCCTGGAGTCCCTCAGCAGGCACCCCTAAGGAGCTTGCCACCTGCTGCACAGGCCTGATCACCCCTCTTGACCACTAAGGAAGGTTTGTTGTGGTAGAAGATGGAATACAGCAAGACACAGGGTTCACTGGGAAGCTCCAAGCTGCAAGAAGGAAGGGCTCGCTCTTCAGGGCCACCTCCTTTGCCTACGGCGCCATCCACCTAACAAATCCCATGATGCCCTCTGCCAGGGGCCATTTGGGATAATCAACCACCCTGTTATGACAGAAAAGCCACTGCAAAGCCCTTCTCTGCCAGAGGCCTAGGCAGGGTTACAAGGGGTGTGTCCAGAACTTTTAGCCACATCTACCACAGGAACACCCACTGGGTGCCTGGTCCCCAGAGCTGCTAGGCAGGAGTCAGGAGCTAAACTGGCCACTCCCTGCCACCTGTAAGGACCCTAGCTCACCCAGATGTCCACAGGGCAGCCAGGGCACAGGTGGAGGAAGCAGTGACCAAGGCCTGGCTTCTTCAGGACCTGCAGGAATGCAGGACCCTGCTCCGCAAGCAACACCCTGACACCCTAGATGCTTTGCTCTGGGGGTAGCAGGGTCAGGTCAGAGGGGGCACAGAGACTCCAAGAATGCCTGATATACATATATGCTTGGACACTGGCACCGTCAGTTGTGTTTCCCTTCCTTCACATGACAGCCATTTAAATCTGAAATGTGTGCACATGCATGTGCATATGCGTGTCCAGTGAACAGTCCCACCCTCCATCCAGCTTTGTGTTTAGTCATCTGCTACAGCGCTGCCTGACCTGGACCCCACCCCAAGCTCCCCCTCATACCTGCTGTACCCTGAGTCCTGCAAACAGCGTTTCAGGCCTTGTCTGCCCTCCCTGGCCAGGCCACAGCTGTGACATCAGGTACTGGGGACTTCACCTCCAGCAAGCCCCTCCCCTATCCTCCTGCAGGAGGCAGCAGGAGCAACATGGACAGCCACAGCCCTTCTTCTGCTTTTAACAGGGCAGTGCCTAGAGCCCACCCAGTCCTTTGCTGCAGAATGGGAAGGACCAAATCCCAGGTCATGGCAGACGTGCAGTGGGGAGGGATCGGCTCCAGCCTGAAGTTAAAAATCACCCTATAGCCCACAGAAGCCACTTCTGGGTGCTAATGACAGGCAGCAACTTTCTGTATGAAACCAAAGCCATACTTCCTAGCCCTGCCTGTCCTCATTTACAGTAGGACAAAACCAAACCAATACAGCTGACCCTTGCCCACCTTCTCAGCAGACAGATATAACCTGCATCCTTTCTTCCAGAAAAGGGAACTGGTGGGAAACCCCTGTAGGGGTCCCCACATGGTCCAGTGCTCCTAAGTCTTCATCTCTAACTATAAAGAGCCAGTGGTGCCATCCAGCCAGGACAAGCCTGCCATTCTTTCTAGAGCAGCCAGCCTCGGCTCACCTTGACCCTCTCCCAGTTCCTCTGCACGGGGCCCAGTTCTACCATTGCTACCTCCAGGAAGCCTTCCTAGGTGAGCCAATCACCACAGCAGCCCCAGGGCCCTGCAGCGGGCAGGGTTACATCCACCTCAACCCTATGCCCGCAAGTTCAGCTCATGCAAATCAACAAAACCCCTATCACAAAGGTGTGAGAACTCATGCAGTCAAACCTGTGACACCTGTGTCTTCGCCTGGCACTGGGTCATGATATCAGCAGCCCTGACAGTGCGAAAGAGCAGGTAATGGCTGCAGACCTCCACCCTCTACATCTGAAGGGCAAACCCAAGGCCAGACATGGCTGACCACTAACAGGCTTGGGAGAGCAGCCCCTATTCAAAGGCCCAGGCTTTAATCCCAGCACTTGGGAGGTAGAGGCAGAAGAATCCTTTTGAGTTGAGATCAGCCTGGGCTACAAAGTGAGTTTAAGGTCAGCCTGAACTGCATAGTGAGATCTTGCCTCAAAAAGACAGAAAAAAAAAAGGCCAGGGCTTGCCTAGGAAACAGGCCTGGAGTAACCCACCTGCCCGCAGCCCCTCACCCAGCTGGTAACAGGCCTTATTTTCTATGAGCAGGGAAAGCTGAGGACACTCCTGGTGCCAGCCTTGCAAACCCAGGCCTCCTGGGCTCCAGCTGAGCCAAAGCCAGGGTGACCAGAGATACCCCCACAGACCCAGGCACCTGAATGTTAAACACAGTGCCCTGCTGTGCCTACTGGAAACAGTCTTCATCTCAACCCACTCACATCACCCAGCCTGGCAACAGGAAACCTCGTTCCCAAGAGGGCAAAGAGCCTGCCAACCAGGGAAACCCAGGAGCTCACAAGGCGCCTCACTTTGGAGGTGGTGCACTTTGTCCTGAATGTTTACTTCTCAGGTGAGTCAGCTAAGCAGCCCTCCTGCCACCTGTCTGAGCCCAGGGACTGAGACCAGGACTCACTTGCAAGATCAAATTTGCAAAATCTACTGCCCAGAGCTCTGAGCCCCAAGTCCTGGAGCCACACTCTCACTGTCCAGATGGAGCACAGAAGCTTGCTTGCCTGTCCCACCTATTTCAGAGACAGGAAAACTGAGGCCTGGGTCAGTCCCTGCTCCACACCACCCAGCTCCCTGGGGACTGCCTGAGACCCTCTGTCCAAAGACCACCCTCACTCCAGCCATCAGCTGCCTTGTTTCAGCTGTCACTCACATTCCAAACACACTACTCTAACCACTGCAGTTCCCAGAGAATAGCAAGTTTCATTCCTCCCAAAGAGGTCAAGTTTTATCCCCTAACATACAACAAAGCCATGAATTTACAAAGCAGCAAAATGAACAACTCATGATCCTACTTGGGACCTGATGGACCGTTAGTGCCACCATACCAAGACCACTGAAGCCAGGTACACAGCATGCTGTGGATCCACTGTCTGCCCACAGCAGCTATAGGCCAGCTATTCCCTCTTCCCCAGCCCAGGGGGCCTCCCTGGAAAAGCAGCCAGAGAACTTCTGAGAGGAGGACATCCAAGTCAGACTGAGGACAACGAAGAGGCTACAATGGCCAGCACAGGCCCTCAGTAACTGCTCCCATAGTATACAGACAGCAGTCTGGATCCTTCTTCCAACTCTGTCTGTCCCCAAACACCTCAAGCTGTCACTTCTGTGGGCCCCACAGCCTGGGAGACCCCCACTTCCACCTACTGAGAATGGCTCCAGCATCACTTACCACAAGCTCCCTAGTTCCTCTGTGGCCAGGGCCTCCCCCTGCTTCCCAAGTGACCACAGCGCCCACGGACACCACAGAAAGTTGGCATCCAGCCTACCACGCCCACTGGATGCTCAGAGCTGGCACCAAACAGAACCAGGGAGTTAATGCAGACCCATCCAGGCCCCAACTGTGGGCAGGGCGGTGACAGCATGGCCTCCACAGGGCAGGTCCTCTGGCTGAGGCCCCAGAGTCTAGAAAGGATGGTTAAGGTACCCATCCTGAGGCCACTGTGCCCAACGCTCCTTCTTCTGGGTTTCCCAAACTGGTTGGAGGTGGCCAAGTAGAAGCAGACACTATCAGGCCCTCAAATGCCACCCAGTCCCCTGGGGTTCCCTAGCCTGGGGAAGAGACTCGGGCTTACCTATCACACTTTTGGCGAATGATGCTCTTTTGAGAGTGGCCAGGCCCAAGTCACCAATTTTCACAGATCCGGTGGGCCCGGTGATAAAGATGTTGTCACACTTCAGGTCTCGGTGGATGATAGGTGGCGTACGCGTGTGCAGAAAGAGCAGGCCCTTCAGGATCTGTCGGCACCAGCTGCGCAGCACCTTGGGCTTCATTACCTTGAACCGTTTCAGGTACCTGGAAGGGGTGAAGTACAGCATGCAGCTCGAGCCGCAGGCCCTGCAAAAGCCCTGCCTAGCACCAGCCAGCCTTGTTTCAAAGCCTGTGTGCTCACATACAGTGTCTGCCTCTGACAGGTAGCAGGGCTGAGCGAGGAGGGCCCAGACAGCTGGGCCCTGGCCAGGCCACACAGCTGGAGTCAAGGCAGCCAGCCAGGCCAGGACCATGGCCCTCTGCTTTCTTCTTGCACTGGGAGCCTCGATACTAAACTTCTTGCCAAGAACAATGCTGATCTCTCCCTAACATGGCACCAAGATCACCTGAGATGCAGCCCTAGTAGGACAAAGTCCCAACCAGCAGTACTCAGGGTGAGGATTAGAGTTAGGGGAACCCAGGGCCTGTGGGAATACCCAGGGCCAGACAACAAGGCCAGGCCCTCCCTGCAACTGCCTCTGTGACCTTTTCTGAGGTATGCCTGGAGAAGAGCCAGCAGGAAGCTTGGAACAGGGCTCTTTCTTTGCTGTGTCTTCATCTGAGAGTCAAAATGCCTGGTGGCAGGGGGACAGCAAGGTCCTACCCAGGCCAAGGAGCAAAACAATTCCGATGAATCCAGGTTGCAGTTACTGGAAGGGAAGCTTCCCACCCCCACATTGTGGGCCTCAAGGAGAAGCAGTGAGCTGCCACCTGGCTCTGGCCCCCACCTGGGCTCCTGCTCCAGCCTGCTTCTAAGCACCACTATGTGCCAATCGGGCTCCAGGGCAGAAATAGTACACTGGCCAGAAATAAGACTCCACAGAGAGCTGAAGAGCAAACCGCAGGAGGAGATGGTGAGGACACTCTCCCAGTCATGTCCTTAGGATGGGTCCCCTTTGTCACAGGAAGCCAGAGGGAGCCAGAGGTTAAAAGATTTCGGTTTGTGTCTTCTCACTGGGGGAAGGGACTTCCCACTGACTGCAGAATGGAGCCTTTTCACCCAAGGGGAAACTTCAGGAGGCAGGATGCTGGATTCTGGACACCAGCTAGGATGCCACCAGAAGTCCAAGACCTTAGCTGGCCCCCCACTGCTGTGCACGTGGGCACGTGCATGCACACACGCATGCACACACACATTGGCACAACTGTCATAACCAAGACTCCTCAGCCCACAGGCAGGCAGCACCTACGTCTTCAGTGTTCCTGAGGTCATCAGCTCAGTCACTAGCACGATGCATCGCTTGCCCTTGGCACTGGACTCCCAGAAGTCATAGAAGCGCACGATGTTGGGGTGCTGCAGGCCTTTCAGCATCTCAGCCTCCTCCTTGAACCGCTGCCGCTCCAGCTTGGTGAGCTTTCGGTCCTAGTACAACACAGACACAGGTAACTGGTACTCGTGGGCCTTGCCACCACTCCCCCGCACCTTACCCGGGAGAGCAGCAGGTGCAGGGAAAAACAGGAAGGGTCAGGACTGTGTGGCAGAATCCACCCTTGCTCTCTACCACAGAGTAGCATGGAGGCCAGCACTCAGTAAGATCCCATAGAAGGACCTTCACAGAGAGCAGTTTGAGAAAACCAGGACCGGCTCAAGACGCACGCAGTCAAGCTCATGCTTGGTTTCCTTAAAAACACCTCGGAGGCCTCCGTTCCCTCAGCAACCATTTACTTTGTGTTTGTTAGAAGAATGAAACCTCGAAACACTGCTTCACTTCTAATGTATACACAGCTCAAATGACGCGCTCAGGGGCCCAGAGACTAGACCTGAAGAGACACTGACGAGTGCCAGAGGCTACCGGGAAGGAAAAGCATCCTGCTAGGGCAGGACTCAGCATACCTTGCTGGCAAAACAAATTCACTGACCTTGGGTTTAACAGGGACCAACAAACACTGGAGGCCCTCTCTGGCATGTGCACTGGGTATCCCCACCCAAGAGCTCTGCCCACAGGTGTACCATCACTGTGCCTCACATCCGCCTTGTCCCACCACTGCCATCCCTCCTGCTGGCCTCAGCACCCACCAACCCAGCCTCTATTCCCCATCCAGCCCCCTGCCTCATTCCCCACTGCAGCCCACCATGCCTGCCTCTCCCCTTCCCAAAATCTTTCAATAGATTCTCACCACAAAGCACTCAGAAGAAACCCAAAAGTCTCACCCAGCCCCAGACACTGTACACATCTACCTTCATTCCACAAGTGAGATCCAGTGCCATACATGTGGCCATGACCTCTCCCAAGTTCACCAGTCTGCCTGCCCAGCTCGCCTGGGGTTACGGCCCAGCCCTGTGCCTGCTATCTCCTCCTTCTTCCTGCCCAGGAGCCACAGGAATGTGAGGAGTCATGTGTCCAAAATGAAAGGATAGACACATCTAACACAACGTGGAGAAATCTGAACAGCTCCAGGGAATCTGAAAGCAGGTGGATTTGGAGAGACAGTGGGAGATGAGAGAATGTAATCCAAGACTCCCAGGATCTTCCTGGAAGTCCCCAAGGGGCACAAAGCCAGGACCAAACCTGGAGGAAAGGTGGAACATGGGATCAAGACAAGGGTCATTTGCTCAGGAATTATGCCCCAGATGGCAGCTGCGCCTGGCAGCTGCTTTACCCTGGTCGCCCATCCATTCCCTCTACCCCACCCTCTCAGCCACCGTCAGTTGTGGGACAAGACAGCAGCCATCACCCACAGAGCCAGGCAGCCAAGAGCAAGCATCGGCACGGCCACGCCAGAAAGACAGTTCAGGGCTGAGGGCAACTTTGACAGCATCTTAATTAGTGTTCCCATGAGACCCAGGAAGTGGGCATGCATGCATACATAAAAGCAAGCTTCCATTTAAAAATGAACAACTGGGAAAGAGTTTCCACAATTAAAACTGAGCTAGTCTTCCTAAAGAGCTCAATGTTTTAAAACTAAGGTATTCCAGCCTAGCCTGTAATCCCAGCAACCTGAGAGGCTGAAGCAGGAGAATCATATTCCAGCCCAGCCTGAGAAACTTAGTAACACAGAGTGATGCCATCTCAAAAATAAAAAATAAGAAAAAGGTTTGGGATGTAGTTCAGTTCAAAGACTCTGAATTCAATCTCCAGTACTGAAAACAAAATCTGCAATCCAACAAAATATTAAGTATGAAAATGTTAATCTCTAATCTGGATAATAAAATGGAAGTATGTTCTACCATTAAAATGAGTATTTATCTAAGAAAATAAAAGCCATGCTACAAACTGTGAGAAGAACCCCACTCTCCCTCTCCCAACCTAACCTACTCCCTAGCTCTGACCCCCAAATATAAAGCTTCCATAACTCAAAAAAAACCCAAAAAACTGTGAATAAATACTTCCCCAAAAAAGATACACAAATGGAGAATAGCACTTGAGCTGGGAAAATACTGATTAGGACCACACCAAAGTATCTTCTCTGTCCTCCCTTTCTCTTACACACACACACACACACACACACACACACACACACGCACATGCACACGCACATGCACACACATGCACGCACACACGCAACACTAATTAAGATGCATAGGATCACACCTGCCCTGCATCCGGGCATCAGTGGGCCTCCACCCACTTGGACATCCACCTCAGTGAAAGGAAATGTAAGTCTACAAAAGACAGGCACACAGGAGTCCATAGCATCTCCCTGCACCATGGTCCGGTCTGGAAGTAATTAAAACATGCAGACAGGTGAATGAAAACCAGGCTTGGGGAAAAAAAGAAGAGTAACAAAAGGGCTGCAAGCTAGAGGTATAGCTCAGTGACATAAGCACCTATCTGGCAAGCACAAGGTCCTGAGTTTGATCCCCAGTACCAC